ATTTGGAATGTACAACAGTGACTGATACTTCGTTAAATACAAATAATGAAGAAGCATATAATTGGTACAACTTTGTAAATGGTGGTAATAAACCCAACACAATAGAATCTGATGTGATACTGATGGTGAGTGGTAAGAGGTAAATAACAAGCCTGCTGGTAACCTAGATTTTTACAACCAGTTGATTTCACCAAGCAGTCTGATAAAATATATTTGCTATGTATCTGGCGAAGGAAATGTTCCTTTATGTTTATTTCAAGATATTGATGCAGAATATTTACTATTTCCAACTATTTTCTGTGTGACAAATGTCAGGCTTCACAAAATAATGCCATGTGTTGTTCAGTCTAGTAAATGTACATTTTGCAACTAAAAAGATGAAACATTACACCTCCTAGTCAGATGTCCTTTTGTTGAAATGATTTGGGTCAAATTTCCAAATCGTTTGGGAAATCTCATTGGATTAAAACAACAGCTTATTGCTGAAGAAATAATACTTGAAGACCCTTCAAGGCCAAGGTTATTAAATTTTCTGATTTTGGTAATAAAGAGATTTATATACATATCCAGGTGTAAACAAAAAATTCCAACTTTTGTAAACTTGAAATCATTTGTGCAAAACATTCAAAATGTGGAATATGTAATTGCAAACAAAAGATCAAAACTGGGTTCTCATCTGAAAAATGGGGTAAATTTCTTGACCCATTAGGAAAATAAATGCATTCAGTTGACAATATTATATGCAATGTATATTTGTTGAAGGTTTCTCAGACACGTGTAATTCTATTTATTCAAAGCATTGTAATATTGTATCTTGTATACTTTGTACTTCAATAAAAAATCAATTAAAAACAAAAACTAGTTTCTGTGGTGTACACAGAGCTGATAGTTCTGACAGCACCCGTAGTACCAGTACCTGAACGTTATAGTACAATTTGTGAGTCAGACTAGTTGTTTGTAATCTCCTAAACACTTTTTTTACACAAATTAAACATATTTATAAGAATACTAGGCAGTTGCAACAAGATGGTTACATCTACGGTACTATGAATACTAGGCTGTGTGATAGATATACTAGTAATAAGAGCTGTGTAATAGATATAATAAGAGCACAAATGCATTTCGACTTAACCTTTTCAACACCAGCTCCTTCTTTTTATCACAAATTAACAAAATAGTCTTGTTTATAGTCTGCACTTTTTTTCAGAATATTAAGACAAAAATGGCCAAATGTTTTGAGTAAAAACCGAAAATTGACTCAAATTTTGTCTGTTGGCTCCAAAATTTAGGATTTATTTCCAGAAATATTGAAAAATATAAGAAAAAAGGTGCAGAAAAATTTGGGAGAGAAAGTCTGGTGGTGAAAAGGTTAATGATTCAAAAATTATCACATGCTGCTCTAAAATCTGACGCAACTCGGATACGGTGAAATGCGGGACACATTCCATCCTCCTGAATTTCAAAACAGAGTCAGACCCAGGGTGTTAGCCAGCCACCAGTCCACCCACCAAACAGACTGGCAACTTTGATTTTGGACTGGCAACTTTTTCCCATTTTTTTTTTATTTTCTATTGTTCTTTGATAATTTTACCAAAATATATTGAAAACCATCGACATTTTCATAAAATAAATTGTTTTGGACTGGCAGTTGCAAATTCCCGGCTAACAGCCTGGTCAGACCTCATTAACATGCTTACTATGTGTACTAGGATATTGTTAATGAAAGCCACTGTGATGGAGAAGTGCACACAGCATTGGTAATGTATAGAAATTGAAAAAAATGTTTATAAAAGAAATTTGGTAGATTGACTTGAAAAACTATATAGTTCATCTATGCATGCATATAAACCATATATATAAAAGTTTGATAGTGTTCAGCTAAGATTCATGTTATTACATCCATAAGACTTATTTCAATGATGAACAAAAATTGTTTTGTTACTACTGAATTTGTCTTCACTTGACTACAAAGGCAAGCCAAACAAATGTTACTGGTCAAACTGTACTTTCCAAAAAAAAAAAAAAGGACCATGGTTTTTTTTTTGCTAAAAGAATTGATAGAACATAAATTTTGCAGATTTCATCAAATCGTCAACAGAGGACGCTGTGAAAAAGAAAAAATATGTGAAAAAATATTGGCCAACATTTTTCATTTTTTAGGTTAATTCCTAACTACTGTAAAAAAACAAGTACCAGTGTGTTTATATATTTATATATATAATAATAATCACCTATCAAAAAAAAACACTCAATTTAAAAAAACAAAATTTGGATCAACCCCTACAGTCAGTAGAAAACATATATATATAGTGAACTGAGCAACATTAAGTGGTAGTGTATACCTGCCTTTTATTGATAGTTCAATTATTAAATATGGTTCACTGGCAATTACCGGTTCTGAAACACCACATCTCATTGGTTGATTGGTATCACATATAGCCCTGAACATACAAAAACAAAATTGTGCGTGACTATGTCCAATGTTTCACCAAATTTGTACAGGTCATTTCAGACAAGTAAAATTGGCTGCCACATAATCCTTTTGACAAACATTAATAAGGCACGTCTTAACAGATTCACTGAGTTAACAATCTAATAGTGAAGCCATACTACCTTACAACAAATTGAGTTAAAATCTTTGACAATTACTTTATCATTGGCCCAATTTGCAAATATATTATCCGTACATTTTTTTAAAACCAGACACAAATATTTATAATTGATCGAAAGCATCTCTCAAAGGCAGTCTAACCACAAGCCTTTTTTAGTTTTTTGCAGGAGAGCCTCCAAGCGTGTAATTGAAATATTGGGATTCCCGCATGGTTGTGTCAGTATTGAAATGTCTTCTGAAAGGCATATCAGCTTATTTACCAGAAATGATTCATGCTATTATTACGTTTGATGTAGCAGCTACTTTATCTAGTACTGTGTGAATCAGTGGGAATGGTGAAAACCATATCCAAGCTGGCCCATGTTATCAAAACTATGTTGTTCAGATATGCTTGGATAGGGTTTCAATCGATATCCCTCTATCCATTGGGTGAAAGATAAGTTCTCTATCCATTGGGCGAATGGCTTATAGTTGTAAAATTACAGAGGTGTGTCTTCATAGTAAGACATATTTTTAATGATCTCGTTTACAATATATCAATTTTACAGGGTATGCTTCGATGTGAGCAAATATGGTACGTACAAGACTCTAATATTCAGCTGTCACCTGCACTAAAAAAATGGAATGACTGCAGTATTAACCATAACTTAACTTCCACTACTGCCTCTTTTGCATTATCTTTGGCAGAGAAAAATTGTTTAAATAGAGGTGAATGGGATCACATATACAAGACGGCAGTAGAGAAAGCGGGATCCACACAAGTTTTGCATCCCATCCCACGGAATATCGCGTCATTGGTCTCACCGATGTAAGTGCATGTACCATTGCATCAACTACCAAGTATGTCTTGTCAGAACATAATTCCAATGCCTTGGCAGTGTTGGATTTCACTGTGGAAAACAAATTCAAACATCATGGTAAAAATATAGACAAGCCTACATTTTTTCTGTTGTCAGGTTTATGTTTATACAGGGGGTGTGTAGTGTCTTTGGGGATTTTTTGGACGAACTTGTGACCAGAGTATAGTTCTGTAAACCCTGCATAACAGAAAGAATAGGTGATTTTCCGTACATTTGTGAGATCTCGCGAGATGAAAGACGCGCGTCGAACGTCTGCTGTAAAAATCGAACGATTTGATTTTGAACTTGAATTTCCTTATTTCGTAGCTCATACCGACCGGCTGATCTTCGACAGAGGAATATTGCTTCCGAATACCCTCACTTAATCGAAATTGCCTATCATCAAATGTGGACAGCACATTATTAAGCATGGAAATGTCCCCAAAATACTTTTGCGTTTGTTGAATCCCACGCGATGTTTGACGCCACTACGACGCTATGACCTTTGTTTGTCCTGTTTTTACGTTCGATTTCACGCATAACGCGTGATTCTCGCAGTGTACGGAAAATGGTCTATTATTTTGTAGTTTTAATTGTATGTGGGGCATACCATAATATCAGATCTTTCTCTCAAAAATAGGTCTTTCTTATTGTGATTTAGGCCTTCTGTAGTTGAGATCAGTTTGTTTTGTTTTTGACACTATTACAACATTTATGATTAGCAGTTCTGGTTATTTAAATCAAGTCTATCAACAACTGTCTGATTTATTATGCAGCATCAAAATAGTCCGATGACTAGTGCGGCCAACACTTTTTGTTTTTTTACGTCATCAATATTATTGTAGCGAAATATGAATACCTAGTATAACAGAGACAGCCATGATGTTATTTTGGATATTGATATGTATAACTGTGAGCAAACAATTGTAGTTTCATTGTTCCTGGGTTTGAAATATGTCAATTGATTTCTACCGATCTCACTGTTGGTTCAACGTCGTGCCTGACGAGAAGCACAATGATAGTATAGTATTTGAGGGATTTCGGTAGAGCTGTTACATGAATTTGCAGGAATGAATGTGTACAAAAATTGAACAGATTACTATAATTCCTTGGAACAAATGACATGAATCAGGTAAAATATTGCACCAGTGAACATTGGGATATTTACAGTGGTTCTAATTCCCAGTTTTCTTAATAATATATTTTTCAGATGTTCTGGTGTTATTGTGCATGTACCTCCTCATTTTACATCACAGAACATTTTGTCATGTTGTCAATGCATGCATAACTGTACCATGTATTGCTATCGGTTCTGTGCGAGCTGCTGTGTAACGCTGGTCGAAGAGCCGAGTCAAGTCAAGAAAACAGCGCAAATCAGACAATCCTGAACAACATGTAAGGATAATCATGTTTCACTGTTCAGGAGAGTCAAGAACTAGCCCAAGTACATTTTTTTGAGAGTTTTCAAATGGTGGTTTTATCGGTTGTGGTTGCCATGTGTTGAAAATGCCTCGGTGTCGGGATCTTACTTACAGTTTTCAAAGAATTCCTCCCCATACTCCTCCTGTATTTCAGTATTCAAATTCTTCCATACTTGGTCCAGTGGTTTCACGATGTTATCATAAGTAACCATCTCAGTGCGAAAAAATCCAGGCTCAATAATGCTTACAGACACTCCGAAACATCGCATCACAATCCTGAAGACAAGAACAATTGGGTCAAACAGTTTGGGTCAATTTCATACATAACATGCAACTACCGGTTCTATTATATTCTACATCTAGCAATAAAAACAATGGGAATTGCCGTTCGTATGATAATATTTCAGCATTCGTTTCAATGTTCAAATTTTTCCTTAAACTACATTCACCAATATTGACATGTTTAAGTTTATTGTGTACCACATTTAAAGGGTGGTAGTCATCACGTCGCGCATGTGCAATATTTGTGTTAATAAACATTGATTCCCAACAATCGAATGTGCTCTTCTAATGTAAATTATGCATAGGGGTTTTGACCTTTTGATACATTCCAATCACCAAAAGAATTACCGTACTTCCCCAAGTATAAGCCCACCCTTATTTTTAGAGATTTAACGAGTTGAGGGCATTTCCGAGTATAGGCCCAGGGTGTTGTTACTGGGCGTCGACGACATTTATTAAAATATGCATGTAAAAAGTGTATTTCATTGCATAAAAATCATGATTAGTTAGGTAAATGTAGTTTGGGGTCTGCTTTCACAAGAAAACTCCATTAATTCGCATGGAGTGCATGGCGAGCGAACGTACTGAAAATGGTTTGCACCTTTTCTATTCTGTTATTTACTCAGAATGAACCCCGATACGAAAGTAATCCTTATTTCTTTTGAGTAGTAGTTTTTGAAATGCCATCAACGTGATTGTCAAGTCATGAAACCTAGTCATTGAACATTGTTTCACTTTTCCGAATAATGGTGTTCATTGAGACTGTCGTGAATGGGGTGTGAACGAGCAAACTATTCTTCAACATGACTTGTATACGATCGTGAAAGGTTCAAATACTTCCTCCACCTTCACTTTACCTTTCGAAAATTGCAAATCAACAGCTTTTAGGGAAAAAAATCATTCTTTTTGTCAAAATCAGTGTTACCAGATCGCATTTGAACATCGTGGTATTTCACTTCAGCATTGTGTTGACATTGTGTTTACTTCATCATTAATTGGAAAAATTCGTCTACACGACACAGCATTTTGATTGATTAATGGAAGACGTTGTTCAGGTCAAATCATGATGAAAAACAATTGCTTTGTATCCAGAGTTTGCGTACGATGGAAAACATTCCACACCAAAGATAATGATAAAGATCTTGCCTTCATCTGTTTTCCCACAGACCCTATCCATTTGCACACCGTAAATTCAGATGGTATGTAAACCGTATTGTAATAAATAATTTTCCTGGTTGGAAAAACGATTTCAATTTTAAAACCACCAAAAAATGTTCCTGATTTTACATGTTCAGGTCCTGGACTTGTACTCGTGGAAGTACGGTACATAGTTAAAGGTTGGTAAAGTCTCAGCTTGTACACGTTGGTATGTGCAACAGTCAAAGTTGCTATCTTTGTTCAATTGAGTCTCATATCTCGCGAGACGATCACCACCGCCCTTTAAACATTTTTCTTGCAAAGCAAACAATTATTGTGGATTCACAAAGTGAGGGTATGTGGTAAAAATCTTGTGTGAAGTGAACTCTTGCGCTTCAAAGCGATCACGTTCAGTGTGAGTCAATCAAGTGTATGTCAAGCATCGCTTAGAAAGGTTTTGATTGCATAAACTGAAATAAACGAATTACCACTATGTATATTCAAACAAGCAAAACGCTTATATTTCACTTTGCGAATATGCAAAGACACTATCAAAAACGGCGCGAGATGAACACAGACCAGCATTTTCACAAACACTAATTCGCATAAGAATTTCTAGAAATGTGGAGTCTTGTGATTTTGTTATCAATTCACAATTTCATTTATCCCTCATCTTATCAAACCTTGATGGTATATATATATTATATTTTCGTATTTGAGTCACTACCACACCCTAAATGTGCTCTACCTTAAGCCATCTGAAAAAGCTTCAACGGCGAATTTGGATACTGAATATGGCCCAGAAACAGCAAAGCGTCCCATCACGCTGGAGACGTTGACAATTCTACCTTGACTGATCTTAATCAATGGCAAAAACGCAATAGTGCTTTCAATCATACCAAAAACATTGACATCAAAACAATCTGAATAGTGTTTTTTAGTGTGCCAGTCACATGGCCCACCCACTCCAGTGACACCAGCATTATTCACTAAGCCCCATAAACCTGAAAAAATCAAAATAATAAAATTATTAGAAAGCAAGAAAAATTAGATGATGCATTGTAATATACAGTATTTTTTCTCAAAAATACACGCCTTTAATCAACAAAGACTGACAAGAATGCATATATTTTAGGTAATCAAAGTTGCTTTCCCAATTTGCTAATCTGTGTGGTATCATCCACAGACGAATATATACACCATCAAAGAATCAAGATTGTGGATTGGGTGTAATGCAAAAATCAGCTACAGAATATGAATTGGAGTGAGCCTCTTAAATAGGATGTCTTTTTAATGTCACATTTTACGCTAAAACTGCATCCTTTTATGATTTCAACTTGTTCTGAGATGAATGTGTCACATATATTGCAAAAGTGGAATGCAACTTTACTACTTGTTTGTCATATGCTGCAAATCCATTGAATTCATTATACCTGTATTTTCTGGGAGGAATTTCTTAACCATTTCAGCGACTTCTTTAATATTTGAACTGCTTGTAACATCCATTCTAATCGTCTTTACTCGCTCTGAGGTAACTGAGTTCAACTTGTGTTCTCCAGATGCAGTCAGGCATGTGGCAAACACATAGAATCCTTTCTTCTCCAATTGTTGGGCGAGTTGATAACCAAATCCAGAGTCGCATCCAGTGACAAGAACATATTTGGATGATATGCCATCAACAGTAGGTAACCGTAGCAACCAATCAATTGTTTTGTAGAGAATGATAAGCGTGATCAGGCATGAGATTATAACCAACATTTTGCAGAATCTGCCAAAAATAATGAATTTCTAAATTTATTTCGCTATATACAGAAGAAAAAACAAATCCTTTCAAATCATGGTTGACAAGATCTCCTTTTCAAATAGTGTTGATTTTATCTCGTTATAATGTCAATTATAACGATGAGAATAAGACAGATTTTAAGAAGCAGAAATGAATTGCATCATTCTCTCATGCTCAACTAGTTCACAGCCGCCATTTGCACATGGATCAATAATAAAGCCTGTCCACCTGTCTCAGACAGGCAGATTTTTGCTGAGACAGGTAATTGTAAAAATTGCATGTCCCTATCGAGTTTTTATTCATTGATTAAATGGGGGAAATCCTGAGCAAAAAATTGCTTTCATTTTTCTTTTTACATATCAAATAACCATGGACCAAGAATGAAAGTTGTATTTCAAATAATATGTCTTGCTTCATCTTGCTAAGTACATCATCAATTAGGACAGGCACTTTTATTCTGCAACCTGTTCAATGAACAGGCAACTTTAATTTTTATTTCAACTTTTGTTGCACCTAAGGTCTATTGTTCATATACATGTACTTAATAATATATAAACAACTAGGAAAAGAACAGACATTTTTTCTCATGAACTATTACAGTACTTAAAATTATCATCCACATTCTTAGTGCATGTTTTCTTTTTTTTAAATTTGATTTTAACTTTCAAGCTAAGCAAATCTTATCAGTATCAAATTGCATTTAATTACAAATGTATTAGTTTCATGTTTCCACTCAGAAACAGACATCTGTTACATTCAATTATAAACTGTTTAAGCTAATGAGGCATCAATATTACCAAAATTATATATGAGCCAGCTTTATTACGGTAAACTTGAACTGCACCGTGATTATTCATTCTTTGAAAATATTTTAAAGATTGATCAGTCAGATTTTCTCAATTTTTTGCATGATATTTTCATACAGGACATCTGTTGTTCATACTCAGGGAGGACTTTATGCTGATGAATAAGGTGATCAAGTTTGATAAAGTTTGGAATAGAATTAGTAAAGTCATTGTGCACACAATAACAATTATTAACAACGACGACAACAACGACGACAGAAATATTTCTCTTAATATACCTTTCCTATCCATCTTTGATGATACGGGCATGGTAAAACAAACTTAATAGCTGGCCAAGAACAAGACAAATCAACCTATTTAATTCTGTAATGGCCTTGTACAAAATGGCCAAATGACCTTTAAACATGATGAGAATAAACTACCATAGTCATTGTAGGAATTTCCCCTACTAAATTCACCATGGATGTATTCAATATGAGAATAGAATAGAATAGAATAGAATAGAATAATACTACACTGTACTGTACTGTACAACATAAGCATGGCTGAGTGCTCAAAGGTATGTGATGGCACAAATATCCAGCATGAATTTGAGAATGAATTTGAGAAGACCAAACAAGCAAAACACACACATATCAATTTCTATTTTTGTAACATGTTGAGATCAAACTGTATTCAAACTTCTATTTTATTAAATTTTGTTTATGAACATGAACTACTGAAATATATTTTCATGAGATGCAAAAATAATAGTGATTTTTTCTACATATACTACTGGTAGTACTACATTGAACATAGAGAAGTAAAAGAACACCAGGTGGAGGTGAGGGTGGTTGTCTTTATTAATTAACTTAAATACATTCTAGGAGAGTAGTTACACATTGTCTGCTGAAAGCCTCCTTCCTCCTCCCAACAGCCAAAATGAATTGTAAAAACTGGCAGTGATTGTTTATTGTGATATGATCATACTGCATTTCACTAAAACAAAAATTACTGTGAATGTGAACAATCGTGTCATATTAAATGAAATATTTGCAATGTAAAGATTGAGACATACCTTAAAATCTATACCAAATACAAGTAAACACTGACCGACTGTCTCAGAAAATGATTCTGTGTCATCTACTGACAAATCAAATTTTATACCAGTTCCAACTACACAGTCATTGGCTAATGGCATATATATTACAAAAGCAGGTCATTGACTGACTTATTTCAGGAGGTCAATAAACTCAGATAGTTGATCAATGGCTTATGCAGCTGGTGAACACAGTGTCAACTGAGTATAGGGGTCATTACACACATTAGTAATTGCACTTTTGTTTGGCACGCCCCCTGATAATGATTTCCAATACCGTATGCTGGAAAAAAAAAAGAAAAGCAGGAAAAGAAAAAGTAGGAAGAGGAAAAATAGGATCAATAAAAATCGGACTGTGAACACAAATGTATGTACAATGTATGAGATTATTGACAATTATTACGAAAGATGAAAATTTGTTTATGTTATTGCACAAAAATACTTTTTTTTTGTAAATCTGACTGTAAGCTCCAAAATAGTCTGCTACCCTATCACATACATGTGCTGTTTTGCAATTTATAAAAATGAATATCTCCCTGGCGTGATGTCACATCTAGGTGATAACAAGCTTATGTGCACATTTATGATGAAGATTATTATTATTATCATCAATAATTATCTTTTCAAATCCATGTAAATTATAAAATGTGATTAAACTGCAAAGGTCACACTACTTTCTAGCCACAATTTTTCATGTTTTCAAATTCATGACAGGGACTGTGTATGTTAATGAATTGTCCTCCATGAACAATGACTGGTACCTAGAATTTTCCAGCAGAGATATAAATAGAAATTGAAATGGGGGAGGAAGGGGGGGGGGGGGTCAATAACAAATGAAGCTAAAAACAATGTGGTACACTGAATTTGATTATAGAATCACTGATGTTTTGAATTTTTTTTTTCTTAAACTGATAAATCTTTGAATGTATAACCATATTTGATGAAAGGTACCGTGGTAACACAAAACACTAGTTATAGCTAAATGTTTCTGGTTTCACTTTAAGCTGAATCTAGCTTCAGCAAGTGTGAATAAAAAAAAAATGTTCTGATTAAACATGATTATGCAGTTGAAAATTGTTGACCAATCACAGCAACTCTTATTTAGGCATCACTGCATGAGAATTAATTTAATTTTGACACGACTTCAATAGTGTCCAATCAGTAATCAGGCCGAGCAATAAAAGTTCTCCTCCCAAAGTAAATCACAACATTGTGTTTGAACTTAAATTTACAGTTAACAACAAACATATGCCCACAGTTGAGAAGTGAAATGTCGTACTACATGAATTACTGCGATTTGGTCTAGAAATTTCACTGAGTATGGCGAACCGGAACATGTCATCCATACTGTATACAGCTATTGCTTGGAAATCCAACTGTTACAGTGAGCCATGGAGTGAAATAAAAACATAAAAATGATTTAAACATCGATGGAAAACATATGCACAATGGAATGAAATGAAACAGTGAAACAGTGGGGGTGTAGATATAAAATGCAATGGCCCATTTGATCAATGGCTTATAAACATTGAGTGTCAACGGAATGCAGGGGTCATCACTCCACTTCTGTGTGCCTCGACTACTGGTAATGAGTGAAAAATAGATTGTTCCAGATTATGGAAATGAAGTTGGTTTTTCCATATTACATGTAAAACCATCTTTTTAATTGTTTTGTTTTGTGTGGAAAGTTTTTTAATAATAATAATATTAATTTTAATAGACAATTTAATCATCTGTGGGAGCAGTACAGTAAATATGAACTGCAGGGACAATAAAAGCAATAAATCTTGTAATCTTGTGACATTTTCCCAATAACACGTAATTTTGCCATATCACCTAATTTATTAAATTCTTTTGTGATTTTCATGTGTAATTTTCTAGTTAAAGTAGTCTTAATTTAATAACTTAAAATTACACTAAAATTTTATTTTGAATATTTTAAATTTAACACAGTTGAAAAATATGTTTATCTGCGATTCAACAAATAAGGAATCTACCCAAGTCAACTTTAATACCAATTCCTTGCTTATAACAAAAAAATTAAAGTGGGGGAGTCGTCACCTGCGCATGCGTCAGATGGTCATAGCATGTCATTGTTTACAAACAAGTGTCTACCCATGAGCCTTCGCATTTTAAGCGTGTGTTGTTATCATCGCTTGGGACTCGATTCCCGCGCGTATGCATTTGACAACCTTCCTGCTTTACAGCAAATCTCAGAAGTATTGGGGCAGCCAATTTGCAAACTCGCTAGCAAATTGGCTAACTGCTTGGGTTTTGACTAAATGGTTGGCTTTCCGAATCTCGCTGGCGCTGTCTTGTGGTCACGCTCACTTAAGGCGAATCTATATAACAGTAGGGGACGATCCTCATACTTTAAGAGCTATTCGGCAACGGTCTTACAATTGGATGGCGATTTCGCTTTCAAATATACCAGGGAAAGTGTTCTATGCTCTTCCGTGTCCACACAAAAACGACGAATGAGGTCGATTTTTTCAGCGGTTGGCTTAATGTTACCCAACGAATCGTTTGAGTGTGAAAGTTTGTTATTTTCTCCCTGATTTGTAGGAAACTGTTTCTCAACTTGTCTATTTAGTGTCAAGCAGTGTTCAAGAAGGTTAACCTCATATAATAAATATTGGTAGATTATTCGCATTTATAATATTATCACGCCAGCTGACTGTGGTTATTTTCAGCTCAAATCATTCAGGGGAATCCAGACATGTACCAGCCTGAGGATGCGTAAAAACATTCCATGTCCCCTAATGCAATATAGACTCGCCAAGAGTGGACGCGATCACAAACCGGCGCCAGCAAGATTCGAAAGCCAACCGTTTAGTCAAAACCCAAGCAGTTAGCCAATTCGCTAGCGAGTTTGCAAATTGGCTGCCCCAATATTTCTGAGACTTGCTGTAATAACACGTATTGCAAACCTGCTATAATGAATTTGTATAGTTAATTCACACATAGAAATTGATTACATATGTTTAAACACAATGTAGGTGAGAGCATTCTAGGTCTTGAAATGTTTTAATAAAAAGTAAAAAATGCTTTGATTTTATTATTCTTTAAAATGCTGTTATTGTGTTATTTTAATATGCTGTTTTTTTTATTCAAACTTATTATATACGTATATGTATTGGTTTGTTTTCAAAAGCGTTGTGAGAATATAGAGGGGTGCAAGGGGGGTAGCTGGTACAGTTTTACGAGAAATAAAAAGGGCTTTTCACAATTTACAAGGGAAAAAAGCCGTTTTTACAGTTTACAGTGAAAATTGAATTTTGCAGTGAATTGTATCATCTAGTCGTTTTACAGTTTCGAAAATTTAATTTCCTTGGATTATTCTTTACCACTTTTTTTATTTGGATGTAAATTCTTGTATGTACCGAGAAAAATGACACATTTTTACAGTGTACGCAAACAATATTTGATTGATTATGTTGTATGTCTAGCCTGTGATTACAGAATTACGGAATTTATTTTTTCAATTGACGTTGTATGAACAAAAAAAAATATTGCAATTACATTGAACGAAAATAACCCTTGCCCGCCCCAAATATAGACATTTGGCAAAGAACCAACTTAGTAACAACAATTAAGAATTATTAAAGATTAAGTGCTTCTTGTTCTGATATTATCAGCTCTACATTTTTGTCACAATCTATATTTAGTGATGTTGTTGTTATAACTACACATATAATGTTGTCAGGCTCATCAAAACATATGTTTATAAAAAAAGATGACACAACCAAATTATGTGTGGTAATGGTTCAAGGAGAGTTACACCCTATTGTTTATCAATCACTGCCAACTTATGCATGAATGAATTACTGCACAACGAGTGTGATGTCTGTAAACAACAGAAGAACAGTAACAAAACATACATTCATACACAGCGATGTATATTAAGAATTATTATATTAAGAATATTTTGTTCGAATTTTTTCGTTAGAAATGAGCATCTCTTACAGAAGCGCACACCAACAACATTTCATTCCTTGTACATAGGATCTTTACATCAGTTTAATGTGTTTACAGATAGTTTGGTTCAGACAGGTTCTCAATTTAATGTATGTTTACAGATAGTTTGGTTCAGACAGGTTCTCAGTTTAATGTATGTTTACAGATTTAGTTTACGTTTAGTTTAGGCAGGTTTTTAGTTTACAAAAAGGTTCAGTTTAGTCAGGTTTTTAGTTTACAGAAGGTAAACAATTTACAATTTACTTGTAAACAATCACAATTTCATTTTAATATTTAACTCCATTGACCTATATTAGTGCTAGGTCATTGACTCAGAGAGTGTGTTTAGTGTGATGGGATACCAGCAATTATTACACACACCTAATATAGTACTTCATATGCTTAATTCTAAACAACCAGTCTTAATTGGTAGTAAGAATTACGTGTAACACAATAAATTCATTACAACAAGTGAGATGATTGGACTACTTAAAATGCAGCACTATATGAGTGAGTTTACAGATGGTTCAGTTTAGACAGGTTTTTTGGTTTAAAGAAGGTTCAGTTTAGACTGGTTGTCAGTTTACAGAAGTTCAGTTTAGACAGGTTGTCAGTTTACAGAAGTTCAGTTTAGACAGGTTGTCAGTTTACAGAAGGTTCAGTTTAGACAGGTTGTCAGTTTACAGAAGTTCAGTTTAGTCAGGTTGTCAGTTTACAGAAGGTTCAGTTTAGACAGGTTGTCAGTTTACAGAAGGTTCAGTTCAGACAGGTTGTCAGTTTACAGAAGGTTCAGTTCAGACAGGTTGTCAGTTTACAGAAGCTCAGTTTAGACAGATTGTCAGTTTACAGAATTTTCTGGTTAAATAGGTTTTGGGTTTACAGAAGGTTCCGGTTAAATAGGTTTTGGGTTTACAGAAGGTTTCGGTTAAATAGATTTTTGGCTTACAGATGGATCAGTTTAGACAGGTTTTCAGTTTACAGAAGTTCAGTTTAGACAGGTTTTCAGTTTACAAAAAATTCAGTTTAGACATTTTTTTGGGTTTTACGAATGGTTCAGTTTAGACAGGTGTTTGGTTTACAGAAGTTCAGTTTAAAAATGTTTTCAGTTTACCTTTAGGTATTTACGGTATGTTTAGGAGATACAAAAAAGAAGAACTAGTGCAAACTACACCATGAGAGAAGTAATCCTTGAATGTGAATGTGAAAACTGTAGTAGTGCTATACTTACTTTTGCACAATTAATGAATTATAATAATGAATTTCCCTGACTTCAATATTTAGCAATTTGATGCAACTATTTGGGGGTAGTTTTCTTTTAAAGCTGTTTATCCCCAAAACTGTCTTCAGTTGTTTTCCCCCAATATTGTCGCACTCGATCGCATAAACTTGCAAACTACTGTTATTAAAAATTCAAGTTGACGTTGTCGCCCCAATCAATAGAAGAATGCAAAATGTATCACTTTACTATCTGACCTTGACAGGGCCATTACACTACAGCGTAGAAGTTTAAAAAGAATTTAAAAAAATACAAAAATTGTCAACACATTGTAGATGTCAAGGTCAAATTCGTAGTCAAATAAAGTCGCAGTTTCATGACAACCCATTAACTGGATTAAGATAAAAAAAAACAATTGTCATTAATCCTCGAATAAACATACCTTTATAGTTCACGTTGAAACATAGACTCTATAAAACAGTATGGTAAACAGTATAAGCAGCACGAATGTTAATGACCCTTGAACCCAATCTTCCCGCCGTGCACAGCGATGTCAACAAGTTTTGGCGCGATTTTTGTGACGTCATTTCGCGCGAAATCATGCAATTCGTAGCTGAACTAGACTACCTGTCGGGTCCATTCATTGCAGAGGTGTGTACGTTTTATGCTACTGTGGACAAAATGGAGACTGTCAGTCTTGCATGATTGGAATTTAATAACTGGTGAGTTCCCATAATTCGTAACCATGTTCATTTTGCTTGACTTTCCTTACGAGACGAGCAAGGCAAGCAAGCTTGTCCGATCTTCCAGAACCAAAACACAATATGGCTGACACACTTATGATTCACCCACCTCTGAAAACTGACGTGATTTCTTCACACGGTGTAATTTTTCTGGGTTATATTTATCGTTTTCAAGAATAGTTTTTTATACAAACTCAAGATTCGAGTTTCTTGTCAGCACGGCAAGTGATACAAGTTGCATGCAAATACCGGTATTGTTTACGAGTGGCCCTTTCCCGGGGAAAGGTTGAGACACGTTGGTGCATGCCTCTGTCTGTAGTGGGGCACGTAGTGAAAGTTCATTTGAAACATCGTTCGTGTATACATAGGTTTTCCCGTCTTAGGATAAAATGAATATTTGGATCACCTATTCCACATTTAATATTTAAAGGTAACATTGCTTCTATATTATTGATCCAAAACTGACGAACTTGATCGTAGCTATCGTATAGAGTTTTATTTCGGTAATGTCGACAGTTATTTTTTTTATTTCTTTTACTAGTAAGTTTTATTGACTATTTGAAAGTAATCGAAAACTGTTTTTTTTTTCCCTAAAAAAATAGTTTTACAGTTATCAAAAAGAACATGTTAATGATTTACCTAAAAGCATGTGGCAATAACAAATCCTGATATTTTTTGGATCAATTTAGGAAATTTTCGCAAAGTGTTGTATTTTGTACATCTTAGCATTGTTAATCCAGCACAGTTTTCATATTCTGTGTTATGTCATATCTCACTAATTTGACTCTTTATTTTAATATTTTCTTATCAAGTTTGATAAGTCAATAGAGGTCAAGATGATGGTTACAGTTGAAGGAAGCTATAACTCTGGGTTGTCTCCATTGTTGTCAACATTAGAGGATGAGACGTCCATTATTGATGATAGAGTTGATGCCTATCTAGCATTGACCGAGTAAGTATATTACAGTGAATTTCTTTTACTTAAACTTGCAATTTATTTTTGAAGAAAGTTTATCATAAAAAAAAAAAACCCACAAAAATAGAGTCCCTATTAATCTACAAATTAGATGTAGTAAGTAGGTAAGTATAGACAGGAACAACTTAAGGATGCTGTACAACTTTTTTGCTTTGAAACCCAAAATTCTACTTTTTTGTATTTTTCAATGCTGGACTACAAGGAGCAAACACTCAGTAGGAAAAAAAGTGAATTGAATGTTTTTATAGGGTGTAAAAATCAATTTTTGTTAATTAAAAGCAAAAGCACATGTCATTGTTTTGAAAGCTATGTTTTAATTAATTAGCCGAAGACATAATGAACAGATAATTTGCATAATTGTCACCACCCATAGCAAATATATACAGTGTCTTGCACTCAGTACAAGCTCAGACTAGTAATACGAGTACATTTTTGTATTAGTAGTCAGAGGTACAAGTTACACACACTCCATTTACGATCGTCCACAAATTTAATTTTGTTGAATTTCTCGCTCTTCAAGCAGTCGACTATGAAACCGTCTTGGGGTCGACTATGACAGTGACGAAAGAAAACGAATGCAAGGAAATTTTAAGAACGTCGACAGTATGTAAAGCGATTATTATGAAAATTTAATCATGGAAGATACCTTCCACGATTTAATTGATCAGACCATGGAGGTATAAACAGAAGGTAGAAAATTTGAGCACATGGCAGACTTAGTTTTCGTGACCAAATTACGTGTCATGGACTGCGACCACAATGAGTCGGAAGTGA